TAGTAGTCGTAGCAGTGGCAGTAGTAGTGGTAGTAGTAGTAGTAGTGGTAGTAGTAGTAGTAGTAGTAGTAGTAGTAGTCGTAGTGGTAGTGGTAGTAGTAGTAGTAGTAGTAGTAGTAGTAGTAGAGGAGTGGTGGTGTACATAAGGAGAGCAAACAAGAACATCAGGTTTGCTGTGCGGAGCCGATAGCGATAGCTGACCGCAGCCACAGAGCTCGGTTGACTTAGTGATCCCATGTTTGATCATTAGTTTAGTTTTGAGTGTGCTTGCGCTGTGGCAACGGCCAAGGCATCGAACTTCTCCAAGCGCGCGGGTCGGCACGTCGACTGCTGCTCTCATTGTTGCACGTGGCCTTTACAGTTCGTCTTACGATGCTGCTGCAGGCTGGGCGTGCACGTACATGTAAGAGGGAAATTCTTTGTGCGTGTTGTTTTTGGTGTGTTGATGGCCGTTCAAGGTGAATGTATCCAGAGCTGCTATGGAGCAGGCTGCCCAGGTCGCCTTGCTGAGAGCAATCCCGCGCTGGTGACTTTGCTTTTGCAGCTGTTGCGCCAGGAGCTTGCGGGCCTGTCTTCCGAGTCCCGGTGGCAAAACACCTGTCCGTTTCGAGCATGCTAGCCCTGCAATTGTACGCAGGTGCTGCTTGAGACCACTTGATACCGTTCTCAGTTCTTATCCGTCCTGGCCTATATAAGGTTCCCAAAATGGCCGTGTTTGAGGCTGCCCTCCTGGAGGAGCTTGACGTCTCCAACCAGACAAACGGCAACATCTCTGCTTCCTCCTCGGTGACGGATGTGATGATGCTCGATGACTACACGCTAGCTCAGCCATCGTGGTACGTTTCAAACTGGGATATGTCTGGTTGTGACGACTACTGTGCCAGCGGCGCTGGCGGTGGTGGCCAACAGGTCGGTGAGGTGCTCTGCAGTCGTGGGCTCCGCTTGGCATGTGAAGGCCCGTCGCTCCTGCTTCCACACAGTCACACAGACCTGTAAGAGCTGGCTGAAGTCACAATGGGCGCAGAATCGTGTAACAGACTAGCTACACATCTTATATCTTTGTCTCATCCTCATATTAGCATGCAGCATTTTCATAGGCACGTACCACGGAGTCCCAGGTCCCATGCAGTCCATGGCCGGTCCGCTGCCGTCCGCCACGCGAAGCTGTCCGCCCTGCCCTGGCCAGGCTTTGCGGAAACGTGACCAAAGGAATTATAAGGAATTGAAAAAACAAAAGAAGTTGCAGGAGAACAGCAACCATTGCATTTTTTGAGTTGGATGCGTTTCGGTACCGAGCTAAAGTACACGAATCACTCAGACACGAGGAAGGGCTACTGAAAGCAGAGTAAGAGCAGCGGGCACAAGTCTCATCGACCTGTCCAGACTGAGTTTGGTCGGAGACCACTGTCTCAAGCACATATCTTAATGCAATGACACAACGTGCTTGTGTAAATATGCATACATGAATGGAGAGTATAAAAGGAGAGTATACAGACTACAGTAATACATGTACAACGTAAAGTACATGTGTATAGAACTATACGCACATGTACATGCGTACCGTGTATATATAAATATATGGTACCCCGCAAAGATCTCTGCTTCTGTACGGTTTTCAACATTTCCCACTCACAAGCAATGCTTTTTGACTGCTTTCAACTCTTCCCACTCACAAGCATCTCCTGGTGCTATTCTTTTCAGCCACTCCCGCTCACAAGCATCTTCTCATGAACATCTTTTCACACACGGTCCACAAAAACCAGCCATATTGAAACCCAGTGCGATTCAATATTTCAATATGGCTCCGCCCTGCGGAAGGCCACATTGAAATATTGAGCCACATTGATATTCAATATGGCGGATCCAAGATCCAAGATTGCACCGGACTCCTGGGAGGAATCTCGGATCACGGATTCTGGGTACACCATATTGAAACTCAATATGGCCTCAATATTTCAAAATGGCGAATCCAAGATCCGTGATCCAAGATTCCTCCCAGGAACCCTGTGCAATCTTGGATCTTGGATCCGGCATATTGAAATTCAATGTGGCTCAATATTTCAATGTGGCCTTCCGCGGGGATTCAGAAATCCAGCCGAAACAGCTATCCCTCCCTTGAACACTATGCATACCCTCAAATTCCGACGGAACTCCGACAGAATTCCGACGGAACTCCGATTGAATTCCCACCGAACTCCAAGCGAAAAAAAAAGCGGGCTAGCGGTTTATATTTGTGTAAATAGGAGCTTAGGCGACTAGGCGTTAAGGCGGTTAGGGGTTTAGGTAGGCTTTTGGGCTTTGAGGACTTTGGGGTTCGGGGTTGAGGCGCTTGGGGGCTTCAGGGTTTCGGGCTTTTCGGATGTGGGGCTTTAGGGGTTTAGAGGTTTAGAGGCTCAGGGCTTTAGAGCGTTTGGGGATTTAGGCGTTTCGGGGCTTCAGGGTTTCGGGCTTTCGTGCTTTAAAGGTTTTGGGTTTTAGAACGTTTGGGTTTTTGGGTTTAGGCGTTTCGGGGCTTTGGGGTGTCGGGCTTACGGGCTTTTGGGCTTCAAGGGTTTAGGGGTTGGGGGGTTCAAGGCTTCAGGGGTTTAGGCGTTTCGGGCTTTAAGGGGCTTACAAAATTTAGGGGCTTAGAACGTTTGGGCTTTTGGGCTTGAAGGGTTTAGTGCTTCAGGAGTTGCGGCGTTTAGTCGTTTCGGGGTTGTGGGGTTTGGTGGAATTTCGGGCTTTAGTGCCTTTGGGCATTTGGGTCTAGGGGTTTGGGGCTTCGGGGCGTCAGGATTTCGGGCCCTAGGGGTTAAAGGTTTTAGAGCTTTTGAAGGGCTTTTAGGGCTTTACGGCTTCAGGGATTTACGGGTTCAGGGGTTCAGGGGTCCAGGGGTTCAGTGGTAGGGGTTTGGGGGGTTTTGCGGTTTTGGCATTTAGGGGTCTAGCGGTTTGGGGCTTTTGGGGTCTAGGCGTTTTGGGCTTTTGGGCTTTAGGGGCTTATGGGGTTTATGGGGTTTAGTAGGGGCTTAAGGCTTTAAGGGTTTCTGGGTCAGGGCTTATAGTGGCTATTGAAGCACACCCATTGACCAACTCACAGAACTTCATGTGTCTTCATGGTTGTTCATGTTCTTCACACATGATCAACCATTAACAAACCATCCATGAAGTTCTGTGCTTTGGTCAATTGGTGTGCTCCTTTCCCCTAAGCCCTTCCTTAAACTCTTGGGTCCCGGAGACCCGGAGACCCCCCTGAAGCCGTAAAGCCCGAAACCCCAAAACCCCGAAACGCCAAATCGCCTAAACCCCTATCGGGAAACACAAAAACCCAATGACTTTAAACCCTTATATGCTGTAGGTTGTAGATTTTAAGTTTACACAAGTCAACTATTCCTTCTCGATGTATCAAGAGACTAAGACCCCAATCCCCTAGACGAAACCTTGGTCACCAACCGATTTAACAGACCTAAACATGTTCTTTAAAGGTTTAGGGGTTTAAGGGTAGAGGGCTTTAGGGGTTTAGGGGGCGTTTAAGGGTTCAGGGCTTTAGGGCTTTAGGGGGTTAAGGGTTAGGGGTTTAGAGGTACAGGGCTTTAGGGAGTTGTGTTAAAGGCTTTGAGGGTTTAAGGGGCTAGAAAATTAGGATTTAGGGGTCTAGGGGTCTAGGGTCAACAAATCGGGGCCTCCGAATTGTTGCTCGAAGCTCGTCATCAAAATCAACTTTTTAATAAAATCCATAGAACTTTGGTTTACAAAATCAATGAAAAATCCACAAAATCATTAGAAAGACCAGAAGACTAGCTGTCAGAACAGACGGAGGTGCCAGAGGCGTTCGGCATGCCGATGTGGGCGCTTGGAAGTGCGGGAGTTGCTGGGTGCTGCTGCTGCACGTGCTTCGGATGCGCTGAGCTGTGAGTGCTGCATGCCTTCAGTTGTGAGTCCTGACTCTCCATGCATCTGATGCATATTTTGCAGGTTATGTGGCATATTCCTCGCATATCGCTGCCTTCGAGCTTTGGCCAGGGCAATGCCTCCAGAGCCTTTCTCCGGAACGAAGCACCTCAAGGACATGAAGGACATCGAGGCCCGGCGACGACACGGAAGACGGCAGCAAGGGGTCAACAGACTCACGAAATTTGTTCTCTACTTCTCGCGGTCTTTGAGGCATCCTATACTGTCCAGCCTTCGCCTCAGACTTTGATGGCGCCTGCCCAAAGCACAACGCTCACGAGTCCTTGGTCGCTCAAGCAAGGCCTGCAGTTCGGCCGATGAAGTCGAGGAAACGCACAGGCAGGAGACGTCGCCACGCTCTTCTCATGTCTTTTATCGCATCTATCTGTAGGGCATGGTTGCTAACCCAACACTGCGAGTTAACTTCAACGATGCCGAGCCGGGCTTCATGCGCCGCCTGAGCACTTTCCGTACCAAATCCATGGCCACTGACGCGCCGCTAGCCTTATATAGTCCCTCTCACATGATATGGACATGCGGCATACTCAAGCAAGGCCAACGTGCTCGAAACTAAGGCAGTCTGAGGAAATGAACGTGGAAGAGACCAAGACCCATGTCGTCTGGAAGCTCGTCAGATAAAGTTCTCATGTAGCGAACAACAGCATACGTCTCACCCTTTCTTGCTTGTCACCCTGTGATCATGCCGGACTTCGAGGAACGTGGATATGTCGCAGCTCACGACCATGTTTCCGCAGACCACTTCCAAAAGCGACAGACAAGAGCAGGATGAGCGACTTGTCCTCATACGTTTCTTTGCAAGGGCGCTCCAGCACAGTTCCTCCTTGCTCCGAGCAACAAGACCCGGTAAGTTTCCTGCCAACGTGTCGTAAGCTCACATTCTCGAAGGGTTTTTGTCAAAGAGGGCCCCAACCCATTCGCGACTGTGACGACAGGCCAACAAGATCAAGCCTGCGAGATGCATCCAGTCCGAAGGGCAGCAATTCTCGTGTCCTTCAGCACGCCTCTTTCGCGGCTTGCCTGGGCTCTGACGAGCCGTCTGCCGAGAGTCCTTCTCACGGGCCGCTTGGTTGAACTTTTCGCCAGGATTCTGCCGTCATAGCCCTGCCGCTAGCAGCGACTAGACAGAAGCCGGAGGGGAGCGAGCTCCGGCCAAGGCAGTCGCCGGCAGCGATCTCAAGACAGCGCTCCGGCACACTGCTTGATCGCTTTGACCTCGTGGGCCCCACGGAGACAGACATCACCCTCGAGTGGTCAAAGCTGTGAGCAGTGGTGTAGCCAGGCGCGGCAGCCACAAATGTTCTTGCTTTCCTGTGTCTTAAAGTCTCAAATCTTTAGGTCAGGTGTTTCAGCGCAGAGACGCAGGACCTGAGAGTTCGGTTTCACTTTAACCATGTATTTTATTTTCCTGGCGACTCGAGTCATAACTTTGCAGTCTAATGCAAACGAACTCGTTCTTAAGCACATATCCTTAGCCACCTGCAAGATGTGTTATTCTGGTATAGTAGGGATGTAAAGTGTTCAATCGCGAGCAGGAGGGTGCCTTGCTTCAAAGGCAAAGGCATGTTGCTCCCCCAGCTTTGCATTCATATTAGGCCAAGCAAGTTCGAGCTGTTCTTCGTTGTACCGCCAGACCGCATCTGCGCTTCCACTGTACAGGTCCAGCTGCTCACCTAAGAGTGGGCTGGCCCAGCTTTACAAGCATTGTCTAGTGTGGCTGCTGGCAGAAGCGCTTCGATGCGTGGCAATTGCGCTAAGCATCGCACTCACGAGCAGTGTGCATGCCGTCCAGTCATAGGTGTCTTTGGCTTTTAGCCGTGGACACATTCGTGGGCCTGGCTGTCTAGATGCAAGCCCTATTGCTGCGATGCGAGCATGCAGGATTTGAAAGAGCTTTCGGAGAATGTCAAAGGTGAGTCGAGTCGTTTCGCATGCTCCGGAGCTTCCGATAGGTGTTGCTTTTCCAATCGGCTCACGATGGCAGTTTCTTGGCATGGAGACTAGCGCTGGCCATCAGAATGAGCAAGCTCTCTTTGTGTTTACTGCCACCATGCCAAGCATGCGCTGGCAAGAGTTAGTGCAACTGCATGGATGCGTGCAAGAAGTGCCCTACCTGCATCCTCCGTGCAAAAGATTAACGATCCTTCTTGTCATTCGCTAGGCCGTCAACAACCGATCTGACCGCAAGCTGTCTCTTGCATCTCTGCCCCAGGGAACGGAGACCATCTCAAGGCCAGCACCAAATATCAGACGGGTGGTGGAAAATGGTTCGGTTGCTGTTTCAGCCCTGGTTGAGGCATTCCGCCGCCGTTGCTGCAGGATCCCTTCAGACCAGGCCAGCTGCAAAGCAACCTCCATTCAGGAGCGAGCTGGTTTTGCTGCCTGTGGCCTCTGTGAGGATTTTTGGGCGATCGTCCCATTTGGTGGACGCCTGTCGTTTGTCAGGGTTTGCCTTTGAAGCCGCTGGGACGTGGATGCAAAGGGGTGCTGCCACGTGAGGATGCCAGAAGGAGGCCTCCTGGGACCACGGCATCCTGCGTGGGGCCAGGCCGTCTCCCGGCTTTTGATGTTCTTTTTGCCCCTTGCAAGCCTTGCGGACACCCGTGGGGCAGAGACCAGACGGGCAGGTGGCACCAGGCAGATCCGGAGGCATGATGCCAAGGCACGGCCCTGCAATGCGCAGCTCCCGACTCCTTTCGTAAAATCCCTCAGACTCAGATTTGATGTGATTGGGCCGGGCGAGCCGGATCCAGACCACTTCGTGTGCTCACCCGAGTCTGGTAAGTCTGGTGGCTACTGTCTTGCTGCCTACTGTGTTTTGCATCTCCGACGCTTCACTCAGAGGCCTGGTGGAGTTCCAGGATTCCCAGGTTCAGGAGGCAAAAGATGCAGTCCGTGTTTGCAGAGTGTTGGCCGGCTTCACCAGGGCTTCCTACCTTCCACGGTGGACGGCCCGGCGGATCTGGCGGCAGAGGCAGTTCTAAAAGAGTGGCTGATGGCACCAACTCCAGCTGGCGGGATCTCTGTCATTTGACCGCGAGGATCGGGGATGGACCCCGATGGAATCTTCTTCATGTGAGAAGACCTGGCTGAATTCTCTGCGTGCCTGTAAACAGCAACTTCTTGTTGGACAGGCAGCCTGGATTAGGGATCATCGTGCCTCCTGACGTACAGCATGCCAGCGTGGCACAAAACTTGAGATCATGTCCGTGCCCAGCGTCCCTGTCCAGCTTGAAGCCAAGGCAAATGAGCCGCACAGAACGATCACGGTACCGACTGAACCTGCTTTTGGGCTTACGGCTTACATTGCAGCCGTTTCATGTTCAAGACATTTTGCTTCTTTAGCTATGGCCTGCGACTCGGAGAAGCACAGCAGGAGCAGAGAGCAGATTCTTTGACGAAGCCCAGGCGGAGACCTGACCCTCGCGCTTGCAAACTGCCAATCTTTAAGGCTCGGACGGGCTGTGGTGGGTCAGTAGTCTTGCACCAGCCGCCCTATTCTCTATAGACTCTACTGTAGGAAGTGGCAGTGAATGACGAGCACAGCAAGCTCTGTGCAGAGGGCTTGACTGAGCTCTGAGCTGGGAGACGGCTTCTGCGAACATCTGTCCAACTGAGGTACAGGCTCGTCCATGCCCGACAGACTGTGGAGGCAGCCAAATTCACCACGCTGCTGAAGCAGGATCACACCGTCCACAGTCTGAGAATCCCAAGGGAAGCAAGATACCACACAGGGTTCTGTGCCGCAAGAAAGGAGACGTTGACGTTTGAAGAAGTTGACTTCTCTCAGTGCAATCTCACATCGGACACCTTGAAAGTGGTGCTGGGCTGACGAAGCAACGTAAGTTTCCTGAGTTGCCTCGGCTGCCTCAGATATGCCCCCGGGCTGGCAAAGGTGCTTGAAATATGCAAGCGATGTCCAAAGTTGAAAGTACTCAAGCCTGCCCGACCTGTGGCTTACATAAGCCGGGGCTTCAAGGCATTGCCTTTGGGCCGGCGCTCCAAATCCCCATTGCACCTGCCAGGCTTTTCAAAAACCAATTAGACGATTCAGGCGCAGAGGGCCCGGGGCCCTGAGATCCAAGGAGGGCCGCCACACGCACATCGAGAGACGAGCATCTCGTGCCTGAGGCCTCGCCGAAATGCTTGGCCGGAAACCTGCCATAGAGGAGCACGCGACGCGACTCTTGGAGTGGTCGCTGTCTTCGTCGGTCTCACCGATCGCCTTTTGTAGCAATTCTCCCCGAACCTTTTTGTCAGGAGGTTCACCTGTCCCACAACCTTTTCACAGCTGCTGGGTGCAGATGCCTGGTTGAAGCCTGCGTGCGACTCCCAGCATCTCCACCCCGCGATCCTGTGTGAATACCGCACAGCAGAAGCGGAAGAAGCACCGCGGTCAGTTCCTTGCATGCGGAAGGAGAAGGTTCGTCCCGACAAATGCCAGCCTCTCTGGCTGAGACTTGGCTTGGAGCTCAGGCGCTGGTGAAGTCGCCAGCATAGGGCTGACGTGCCGCTCAGTGATGTGCAGAAAGCATTGTCTGAGAGTGTTGTACAGAGCATATTATTGCATGCCGAGAACAAAACAACGTTGCGGATCCAGAGACGGTCTGCGACGAATTGGTGAGAGACTTTAGTGCCGGGCCCTCAGCACCCCTGCGGCGGCTGCAGCTGCCAGTTCCATTACTGTCGATCCAAAGAGTAAGAGATTTCGACAAACAGATCAGGACACGGAAATCATATGACGAGAGGACATGCTGCAACCCTTGAAGGCATCTAACATATCTAAAGTTGAACAAGGAGATGGCTTCCTGAACCCAGCATCGATCAATACTTCCGTAAAGGTAGTTAAGAGCAGGATGACTTGGAATGCCGAATCTGGCCCTCAACGCGAGAAGTTCAAACCATGCATTTGCTGTGTGTCGGTTTCGCTGGAAGAAGGCAGCTGAGCAAGTTGCCGCATTCATTGCAGATTGCTGCACGCACTGGGGCCCGCAATTCGCATGGATAAGCGGCTAACTAATCGATACCCTAGTCGATACCCTGATGGATATACTGGATACCTACCAAGTCGTTCTGTGAACCACTGCCCGTTTTGACTGAATCAAAGAAGCCGTTTACCATGTAAGATTGCTAAAAAAAAGCACAATTAGACCACTACGGCTACCACTATCATTGCATACAGGCATTAGCATGTCAATAACAGCACCGTTACTATGACAATTTCAACCGTGATTACTCTTACTGCTATTGTTGTTGATACAGGTTTTGCGGGTTTTGCTACTCTAGGACCCCCAAATCATCCGCAGTTACGCTACACACATCTACAAACAACAAGTTTTGCCACGCGTTCATTTGTTAGTGGTACATGGCTTCCGGCTTGTCGTCAGAGTTTTCAATAAGTCTTTTAGGGTCTCTATGCTTATCCACTGTTGCAGGTTTAGTTTGTTGAAGATAGATTCGTCATGAAGGAGGCGGCTCACAGACGAGATCTCTGACGTCATTTGTGATTGCTCTAGTTTGCCTCTCACATCTGTGCCGCACCTTCTGCACTAGCGGCTGATTATGTCAGCACGCTGCCATTCACTGATGCTGCAACCACTACTGCTACTACTGCCACTTCTACTGCTTCTGTACTATTTCAACAACAACAACAACAACTACTACTACTACTACTACTACTACCACCACGACTCCAACGACTTACGTGTGGGCTGAGAGGCCCATGGCTTCCAGCTGGCCATCTGGCGCTTTCCGTGGACCACCTCG